ATCCGGCGCCCCGACCGGGACTAGAACCTGGTGTGCCGGCGCCGCTAGGTGGAGGATTAGCCTAGTGAGCCGCGGCGCTGGCCCAGATTTTGTGTTTTGTTGAAGTAATCTATTGTGTTCTCTTAATATTTCTGTTAAGTTCTGAATAGTTAAAAACAGCTGAGTTTTAAGAGTTATGGTTTGTTTAATTATCGTTATTCTAAACATTTTGGTGATCACTTTCTAACAATAATCAAATCTTGTCTATATTATGTCATGAAGTTAAGGGATCCTGTTTCTACTAGATATTTTAAGCCTTCTTGGCAACTTTGACAGGCATTCAAAAAATCCAAGTTCCAAATTCTTTGGATTTTGATATTTCCAGTTGGGCCCTGGGCAATGTCAAAGGATATATCTCTCATCTTGTAGAGATGCCAACTAATAAGACTATTTGGATTACATTAAAGATACTGTCAAGATGTGAAGTGGTGCTAAATTTTAAGTTATCATAATATAAAATGCTACTATCATACAAATGTCCAAAAGTTACAAAAGTTAAATGATTTTTTTTTTTTTTGACAGGCAGAGTTAGACAGTGAGAGAGAGAGACAGAGAGAAAGGTCTTCCTTTCCGTTGGTTCACCCCCCAAATGGCCACTACGGCTGGTGCGCTGCGGCTGGGAGCACTGTGCCGATCCAAAGCCAGGAGCCAGGTGCTTCTTCCTGGTCTCCCTTGCGGGTGCAGGGCCCAAGCACTTGGGCCATCCTCCACTGCCTTCCCGGGCCACAGCAGAGAGCTGGACTGGAAGAGGAACAACTGGGACAGAATCCGGCGCCCTGACTAGGACTAGAACCCGGGGTGCCGGCACCGCAGGCAGATGATTAGCCAAGTGAGCCATGGTGCTGGCCTAATGATGTTGTATTGTTATCAGACATGATGGTTATCTTAATGAAAAAGGCCAGAGGTCTAAAAGGGATAAATGTTCTGTAATATCCTATAGGTGCTTTCAAAAATAATGTGTGGAGGAAGCAAGTGCCTCTTTTCATTGGTTGATGGGTTTACAATTTTAATCATGACTATTTAAAGTCTTTTGTCATCTACAGTTTTGTGTTCTCCAAACACTAAAAGTCAGATTTACTGCTCATGGAAGTTAAAACATTGTTCCTTCTGTGTTTAAATATGTCCTCTTATAGGTTCCAAAAGAATTCTTTTTTCTCTGACCTCTATTGTTAGAAAAATAGATAGACAGTGCTGTAAGCAGACAAAGCCAATAATGTAGTACAGGTTCCAACTGAGAAAAAATACGGTTAATTCAGGTTACTAAGAGCAGGAAGTAATTCTAGTCAATTGATGGTAAGTTAAAAAAACAGGTAAAAATTTTAAGAAGCTATTACTGAAACTGCTTTATTGTTCTACTTTGTATGTTACATTATACGCATGTACAAATTGTATGTCTACATGGGAAAATTTATTGACTGCTTTAATTGGCTTATAGGTAAAAGATTGCTCAAATTTAAACTAGTAAGTTAATCAATGATACCTTTTTGGTTCATGTGACCTAAATAAATCTCTGTAACAGATATTTAAATCTGTTAGTAGAAACTAAAAATGTTTAAGTTATTGACATGTTTATACTTTTGGGTTTGCTGGTCAAACAAGTTACACTTGTGTTAGATATTTAAGTGATGTTTCCAAACATATGTACTCTTGTCTTGAAATTTATAGAAGGCATTGGACCTTCTGGTAAATGTTTTCATAATTTGTTATTTGAGAGAATTGCTTGCTAAGTTTTCATTTGATATTAAGTTATTAACAAAGCGATCTGGGAAGGCTGACTTGTTCCCTTATTTCTCTATGCTCTTCAAGATGGGAAACTGACTCTATTCTGAAGGGCTCTCCAGGATATACAGTTTGATCTTTAGACCTTATAAAAGGAATGGCTAACAATTTTCTGTAATAATAGCCCGGCTACATATAGAAGACATTAAGATTTCACAGCTAGATTTACTTTGTCATGGGCACAGTAAACAGACAAAACGTCACTTTTCAAACCAAACGAAGGGGACGGCACTGTGGCATAGCAAGTAAAGGTGCTGTCTGCGGTGCCAGCATCCCATATTGTTGCCGGTTCAAGAACTAACTGCTCCACTTCTGATCCAGGTCTCTGCTATGGCCTGGGAGAGCAGTGGAAGATGGCCCAAGTCCTTGGGCCCCTGCATCCATGTGAGAGACCCAGAGGAGGCTCCTGGCTCCTGGCTTCAGACTGGCACAGCTCCAGCCATTGCAGCCATCTGGGGAGTGAACCAGCAGATGGAAGACCTCTCTCTCTCTCTCTCTCTTTCTGTGATTTTCAAGTAAAATGTAAATCTTTTTTTTTTTTTTTTATTTGACAGGCAGAGTTAGACAGTGAGGGAGAGAGACAGAGAGGAAGGTCTTCCTTCCGCTGGTTCACCCCCGAGATGGCAGCTACAGCCGGTGCACTGCGCCAATCCAAAGCCAGGAGCCAGGTGCTTCCTCCTGGTCTCCCATGGGGTGCAGGGCCCAAGCACTTGGGCCATCCTCCACTGCACTCCCGAGCCACAGCAGAGAGCTGGCCTGGAAGAGGGGCAACCGGGACAGAATCCGGTGCCCCGACTGGGACTAGAACCCGGTGTGCTGGCACCGCAGGCGGAGGATTAGCCTATTGAGCCATGGCGCCGGCCAATATTTGATCTTAAAATAAGGACATAGCTTTCCTCATGGGCACTGTCTACCTCACAGAAAAACCACTATGAGAACATGCCTGTGACTATAGATCTCTGCCTTAGACCACCAAAGAACAGAGATGAGACTGAGCACCCCCTTGACTTGCACCCTCTTAAAGGCTGCCTCGGTGGCCTGCTTTAACAGATAGCAGGAGGAAGAACAGCAAGCCAGGCAGCAGGAGCAATATAAAAACAGGTGGCAGGCCAATTAATGGCTGCTCTACACAGTGATCTGCCATCCAGGAGACCCAACCGGCCAGCCCACCACAAATGGCATTGGTTTGCAATATGGAAATCCAGGGCTTCAGATGGACACAGAAGTCAGCGTACGAAGAACCCTGGCAGCTCTGTCAGCCAAGAACTGGGTCATTGGAAACAGAACTGCCCTAGAGGTTAAAGGACTCCTGGGTCAAAGCCAGACCCAGTTGGCTCTAAGTTGAAGAAAGCCCTTTACTCGGCCCAGCTTCCAAAGTAACCACCACTGTTGAGGGGACAGCCAGGCGGGGTCCACAACACTGCAGGCAGAACTGTAAATTTCCTTTAGAGAGGTCACCTGCCTTCTCTTTGGGCTAGATCTCCCAGGCCGGTTAGGTAATGGAAGTCAACAGGGTGCCTTCTCTAAGGAGGTTCACACCTCCCTTATGATGTCTCTGCCAGTACCCCATATGAAAAGATAGATAGGACTGGGCCTCATACCTGACCAGGCCCTAATGCCCACCTGATTATTATCAGATTCCTCTTGTCTATTTGCCTCTCAGTGGGAAAATTTTCTCATGGTTTGGACAGTACCTTTCTTAGTTCCTCTAGTAATGACTGTCTTTTGTTTTAGACCCTGTGTATTTAATCTGCTTGTTAGATGCGTTTTCTCCAGACTCGAAACAGTGAAATTCTAGATGGCCATGCACATGAAACCTCAGAAGGAAGCAGTTTCTGGAAGCTGGCACTGTGTCTTCTTTGAGAGGCCACCTCCTGCTGGAACCCTGAATTGACTGTCAGTCCCTACTCTGCCCCTACTCAGCTTGACTGAACCAGAGCAGTTGCCGTCCCATAACCCCTAATAGAAGTTAGGGTCCATTCTTCTGGGGGAGGGAATGTGAGGAGTCAGACTGGTTAACAGGCAGTCAGGTTGGTCCTAGTAGAAACTGAGGGTGCAAAATGCTTGCTCCCACTGCTTCAAAAGTTATCTTTGCAAGGTCAAAAGTGCCTGCCCCACTCCTTGGGAGCTTCCAGTGTTACCACTAGAATAGCTAGGGAGTAGTGATTCCATCCTCCTGAGCACACAGTTACTGTAAAAACAAGTTACCAATCCCACCACTCGGCAAGTAAGATTACAGATCAGGTCTTTTGGTGGGCTTTGCCCTTGCCTTGTAACTGAACATCAACCTGACTGTCAAGTTTTTTCTTCCCTAAAATTGTGCTTAAAAACCCCAGGACCACCAGCCCCTTCAGGTTTTGCCTCTCCTGGAGCCCCCCTCCTGGCCACTCTGTCAAGAGGTCTCTGACTTAAATAAATCTTGCTTTTCAATAAATCTTGCTTTTCTCTTTGCCTTGTCCTCTTGGAAATTCTTCTTCCATGTGAGACAAAGAAGCAAGGTCATCTTTTCTCTGCCGCCCTTTCATCAGTAACAAAAACACGGCACCCTGCACCAGCCCACACCATAGACTCTTCCCAGACAGAGCTTGAGAGAAGCTCTCGGATGAAAACAATCAGCACTTGCCTAAAGATGAGACAAAAACACCATGTGATATTTCTACTTCAATTGTGCTGTATGTATTTATAGTTCTGAACTCTTATATTGTATTTGTACTTGTATTTATGTGATGGCACATGATCTCTGATACGGTCTTAAGTGAGTCAAGAAACTCTCCATTCAATCAATTGCACAGAGCAAAACCAGGCAGTGTAACACATGGAATTTCACCAAATGTCAACAACCAACTACCCGTGAGCAAGCAGGAGGTGTTTCAGTTTCTTGAGGTCCAGGACACTTTGTCCTGGAAAAATTCAGCACTAATCATGGGCAGCAGGAGCCTCTGCCATCTCTCGTCCGGTCATCATTCCACACTCTCCCATCCTTTCCCTTCCAGGAATGGAGAGGACAGCTGGAAGGAGGAGACTGACTGCAGAGGGAAGCAAGGTACCCAACTGACACTTTCTGTGGCTACCTTTCCAAGAACGGAGTCAAGCTCACCCCACCCCCTCCAGCCCTGCCCAGAGGAACGACCACTCTCTGGAAACAAAGGAAAGGACCAGACTCTATCTCATGGGCTACTTACTTGCAATTGTGCCAGCCCACCACACAATGTCCGTTAAGTAGGAGGTACCTATAAAAGAATGAGTAAAAATGTCAGGTTGATAAGCTAAGCACTTAAATTTTTACATGAAAAGGAAAATTGAAAAAAATAAGGAATGTCATGCAATTTACTCACCATATAAACCTTAGTCCATAAAGAGCATGAGAAACCACTAAAGTGTCAGAGTGGATATGTCTGCAATCAATGCAGGCTGACAGAACTTAACAAATGCAAGCTTTGTAAATTGGTTTTCTTTGGCCCAATAAACCACTACACATACGGCAAATTTTCTTTGGAATGGAATTTTATGTTGATCTCAAATGAGAATGAGTCATTAAAGTACAACTCTCTCATGCATTTACTATAAGCCATTTATATGATAATTTTACTATCCTATGGTTCAATGGCTTCTGCTTAAACAGGTTACTCAATTTTCTTAATTTAGAAGGCTGAAATGACTCCTTTTTTAACCAGTTGAGCACTAAATCCCTACAGTCACACAAGCTTTAACATTTTTCTTAAAGATTTATATATTTATTTGGAAGTCAGAGTCACAGAATAGAGAGAGATCCACCAACTGGTCCACTCCCCAGATGGCTCTGACAGTCAGGGCTGACCGAAGCCAAAGCCAGGAGATTTATGTGGGACTCTCATGGGTGCAGGCACTGAAACACTTGGGCCATCTTCTGCTGCTTTTTCCAAGTCATTATCACAGAGCTGGACTGGAAGTGGAGCAGCCAGGACATGAACCAATGCCCATATAGGAAGCTGGCACTGCAGGTGGCAGCTTTATCCTCTAAGCCACAACACATGTGCCCAAGTTTTAATGTTTTACATGGCACTTCCCTTGTATTCTCTTGCTATCCTTTACATATTTCCCTGCAGGACAGGCAGAATCGGAGGAACTACCTGTCCTCCCCACACATTGGTCTTTCCACGTGCCCCATGGGACAGGTGCTTACAAACAGGTTTTGCATCTTGTGAGACACAGCTGTCCTTTAGCTTTGTCAAAATGCTTCTAGGCTGACTTTCTCCCCTTGCAGATAAAAGTATCTAATTCAAATTGGTTTTTTTAAAAGATTTATTTATTTCTTTGAAAGACAGGATTACACAGAGAAGGAGAGACAGAGAGAGAGAGATCTTCCATCCTCTAGATCACTCCCCAGATGGCTGCAATAACTAGGGCTGTGCCAGGCTGAAGCCAGGGGCCAGAAGCTTCTTCTGGGTCTTCCATGTAGATTCAGGGCCCAAGCATTTGGACCATCCTGCATTGCTTTCCCAAGAGCATTAGTAAGGAGCTGAATCAGAAGTAGAGCAGCCAAGAATTGAACTGGCACCCATATGGGATGCTGGCTCTGCAGGCCTCAACTTAACCTGCTGTGCCACAGTGCCTGCCCACATTGGATGCTTTAATTCTCAGTAATAAAACCACAGTATTTTGGTATAAGGAATATAGGAGGCCACACTGCTTAATGAAGGAAGCAGAACTACAGGTATCATAATAGTTGTTTACAAAATGAAATGGGGCCAATATGTAATGACAGAACAAGTGGAATGATAAAGTTAAAAATGACCATCTCACAACATCACAACAGAAACTAATTTAGGCACGAATCATAGGTACTGAAACAAGTGGATGGGGGCTGGCACTGTGGTGTAGCAGGTGAGGCCGCTGCCTGCAGTGCCAGCATCCCATATGGGTGCCAGTTCGAGTCTCAGCTGCTCCACTTCTTCTTCTTCTTCTTTTTTTTTTTTTTTTTTTTTTGACAGGCAGAGTGGACAGTGAGTGAGTGAGAGAGAGAGAGAGAAAGGTCTTCCTTTTTACCATTGGTTCACTCTCCAATGGCCGCCATGGCCAGCGCACCGCGCTGATCCGAAGCCAGGAGCCAGGTGCTTCTCCTGGTCTCCCATGGGGTGCAGGGCCCAAGCACTTGGGCCATCCTCCACTGCACTCCCGGGCCACAGCAGAGAGCTGGCCTGGAAGAGGGGCAACCGGGACAGAATCCAGCGCCCTGACCGGGACTAGAACTGGGTATGCCGGCGCCGCAAGGCAGAGGATTAGCCTATTGAGTCGCGGCGCCGGCCTAGCTGCTCCACTTCTAATCCAGCTCTCTGTTATGGCCTGGGAAAGCAGTGGAAGATGGCTCAAGTCCTTAGGCCCTTGCACCCATGTGGGAAACCCGAAAGAATCTCCTGGCTCCTGGCTTCAGATCAGTGCAGCTCCGGCCATTGCGACCATCTGGGGAGTGAACCAGTGAATGGAAGACTTCTCTCTCTCTGCCTTTGTCTCTGTAACTCTGCCTTTCAAATAAATATTTAAAAAGAAAATAAGTGTGGATGGAATGCTGCAGTCCAAAAAAAAAAGAAACAAGAACAAGTGAAGTGGATAGAAGTTTGCTGGGGAACAGGATTGTTACACAGGCCCTGGGAATCACCCCTACCAGTTTGTGGGGTGTGTGTGCTTCACTAATTACACGAGAAAAAGTTCTCTTCACAGTCGAGAACCTGGCAGACATCAGCTTCACTGGGTGGTCAAAGTGCAGATTACCAGCAGTGGGACAGATGGCATCATGTGACTCCTGAAGGGATGTACTGAGAAGGACATCACACAACCTCTGTGATGTTCCTGCCAAACGCACAGCTTGAGGCTAATCATAGAGAAACAGCAGACAAAGCCAAACTGCGAAACAATCTCTGCATTAGCTGGCCTGACTCTTCAAAAACAACAAAGTCACAGAAGACCAAAGAACTGCTGCAGATGAAAGGAAACTAAACAGAGGAGACGTGGTACCAGGACACACAATGCTAAGCAAAAAAAAAAAAAAAAAAAAGTTGCTATTCAGGGAAGTAGTGGGGTAACTGGCAAAATTTGAATATGGACTACTGTAGACAAAAGTAACAAAATTCTTTTTTTGCCCAAGAACTTGATTTATAGTTCACTTTCTGGCTCTAGAGCGCTGACAGCCAGGCTGCCAGGCAACAGCACTAATGGTTATAAAAATAAAAAGCCCTCTGATGGGCAAATGACACCTGAACTGCAGGCCTGTGAAAGGACACGCGAGCCCCTGGTTTGGGCTCTCTGAGTGCGATGCCTCTGGGGAGACATAGGCCTCCTTACGGGGTCCGGAGCTCTGCCTGTGACTGCAGCACTGCCCAGGCACAGGGCTTCCTCGCAGAGAAGCTGTACAGCTCTGTCTCTAGGCCCTGACATCACTGGGGCTCTGTCTTGTGTCCTTCTGAATGCATGCCATACAAACGTGGCCTAGTGTCCTACAAGTTGGAAAGTTTAGGGAGGCCCAATTATGTCTAATAGCAGATACTGCAGAAATACTAGTTATTAAAATACTCAGTGTTAAATTTCCTGAATGTTGCTCATCACACAAAGGCTGTTTAAGAAAATGTTGCTGCATCCTGCAAAATGCTTGCTGAATATTTAATGGTGAAAGGTTACGATGTCTGTGGCTAGACACTGGTGTGAGAAGCCCCATGGACCAGCTGCTTAGCAAAGCTACCATAATTAATTAAAGTATTAAAAAATTAAAGTCTCTGTAAATTATCTTTAGGACATAGAGTAAATATCCCCTTTTTCATTCTTCATTTTTGTAATTTGATTGCTTTAATTCTTTTTTGCTTAGTCAGTCTAGCTAAAGGTTTCATTATTCTTTGCAAAGAACCAACTTTTGGTTTTGCTGATTTTACTGTTTTTCCATTTTCTGTCTCATTTATTTTACACATTAGAGTGTACTCTTTTCTCTGGGTTTAATTTGCTCTTTTTATCCTAGTGTCTTAAGGTGGAAAATCAGGCTGCTGATTTCAAATCTTCTCTTTTTAAAGTTTTCATTTGTTTCTTTGTTTATATGAAACACAGAGAGAACGATTCCCATCTACCAGTTCACTCCCCAAATGCCTGCAACAGTCAGGATCTGAGAAACCAACTCAGGTCTTCCACTTGGCTAACAGGAACCCAACTACTTGAGTCAAATTACCTGTGGCTTCCAGGGTACACATTAGCAGGAAGCTGGAATTGGGAGCAGAGCTAGACTCAAACTCAGGTACTCCAATGAGGGATGTAGTGTCCCAAGTGACATTTTAACTGCCCACTCCTTTTCTTTTTTATATATAGGCATTTGCAGCTATAAAATTCTTTAAATTTTAAAAAGTTTATTTATTTGAAAGAAAGAAGCAGTTAGAGAGAAAAAGCTCCCATCTGGTGGTTCACTCCTCAAATGCCCACAATTGCAAGGGCTGGACCAGAACGGGAGCCAGGAGCTAGAAACTCAATACAAATCTCCCAAGTGGGTAGGATCTGTAGTAGCAGGAAGCAAGAATCAGGAACCTAAGCCAGAATCAAACCCAGATACTCCAATGTGGTATGTGGCATCTTGATCACTGGGCTAAACACCTGCCCCCGCAGCTACAAACTTTCCATCATGTGCTATGTTAGCTGTATCCCATCATTCTGCTATTTTATGTTTTGCTTTCATTCATCTCTAAGTATTTTGTAATAGCTCTTATGACTTCTTCTTTGACTCATTTTTTAAAAAACTATTTATTTATTTATTTGAGAGGTAGATTACAGAAAGAGAGAGGGAGAGACAGAGAGAAAGGTCTTTCATCTGCTGGTTCACTCCCCAAACAGCTGCAACAGCTGGAGCTGGGTTGATCCAAAGCCAGGAAGCCAGGAAGCCAGGAGCTTCTTCCGGGTCTCCTATGCGGTTGCAGGGGCCCAAGCACTTGGGCCATCTCCTACTGCTTTCCCAGGTCACAGCAGAGAGCTGGATAGGAAGAGGAGCAGCCAGGACCGGTGCCCATATGGTATGCTGGCACCACAGGTGGAGGATTAACCTACTGGTCACAACGCTGGCCCCCGACTCATTGTTTATTTAGAAGTGTGTTAACTTATTTATTTAGTAATTTTGTAAATTTCCCTCTGCTACTGATTTCCAATTCCTTTCAATTGTGGTTGGAGTATACGCTTTGTATAGTTTCAATTCAATTAACTGATGCCTGTATAGTGACCTACTCCCTGA